GTGAATTGAATTGACATGACAGCAGTGCTTTTATGTTCCATGGGACGTCATGAGAAGCTGTTTGGAAAACCAACTCCACTGTCAAGCACATGTGAGTAATGCTAGAAACAGTAGAGAGCATTGGGTCAGACAAGGCATAGGCTCCGGACTCAGCCAGCCTGATGCAAATATTTGCAGCTTACTAGCTGTGTGATCTTGGAGAATTAATTAACTTCTCTGTGTTTTATTTTCTTCTGTAAAATTGGAATCCTAGTTGTACCTATCTCTTGGTTGATATGATAATTAAATGAGTCAGTCCCTCAGGATGCAACTGTTATTAATAAATGCTGATCCAAAGAAAACTCTATAGGTTTCTTTGTTACAGAACTTTTCAGAGTTTTTGCTATGCTGATAAGCATAGTGACTTCCAGGGCCAGGATGGATAGGCTCTATAAGGTACCATTCCAAATGTGCTCAGAAAATTCATCTTACCTCATGGTCCAGGTGTTCCATGAGATATGCTTTGGAATTCCAGAGGTAGTCTATTTTGTTCTAGAAGAAATGGCAAGTAGAGAGGTGAAGTGAACAGACCAAAGTCACACAGCAAGTATAGAGTGGCAGAGTTGGAATTAGAATTGAGTTTTCCTGACTCTCTTTCTAGTGCTCTTTCTAGTATGTGTCATGGCTTTTACCTAAAGCATAATGATAACAATAATTTAACAACTAACAGTTACTGAGTGTTTACTCCATGCCAGGCACTGTGCTAGGCTCCTGCCATTCATGATTTATGTATTCTCCTAGCAGTTAGGTAGGTGCCATATCAAACCCACTATACAGGAATCAGAGAGGGAAGGTAGCTGGTCTGGCATCACATAGCCAGTAAGTGGCAAGGCCAGCACTCAAACCCACATATGCCAGTCCAGCCCTGAGACCCTGGCTTAACCACCACATACCACACATCATGAATGACTAATGGCAGAATTTTAGACTGAGCCAGGGAGTGGTGCCCCCAGAAAAGACGCACACATCTGACCCCACCCTGCTCTTCTCAGGACGGCTGGGTTGAGGGGTCCTGGCTCTGGCCCTTGCCGCTGGCTCAGCCCCTGGGACTCACTGCTCAGCCCCAGCTCTCCTGCCAAATGATTTTGGCCAGAACTGGGCTTTGGCGGCCACGCTGATGGAACTGCTCTACGCTGAGAGCCTCTTGTCAGCCTGAAATCAGAACGAGCCCTCAACGTGGCTCCCCCTCAGGGCTCCCTGTAAATAAAGATGCCGCGGTTGTTCGAGCAAAAGGCCTCTTTGTCTGAGGCCCTCCCAGCCCACGCGTCCTCTGCCCCCAGAATGCCCGTCTCTGTCGGCATGAAGAGCTTCTCTGTTCACCACTGGCTGCGTGGTGAGCAGTGGCCAGGCCCAGGGTCTGCGCCTGGAGTGGGTGGGTGGCAGTTGCATGAGCCGGGAGGGCACTAGCTCCCTGCGCCTGGCTGGAAGCCTGCTCTCTCCTCCCCTCCCTTTCAAGGAGCTCACCCTGGCAGCGAATCTCTGCACCCCACCTGGAGCCCAGGTGATGGACCCCCATCTATCTGGACCATCAGGGCTCCCTCTGAAACCTCAGCCCTCCCTCTAGGAGTCCTCCTATCCCAACTCAACCCCTGGCTTTATGGGACTTTACCTCTTGCCTGACCTCCTCTCCTCCTCCTCTTTCTTCTTTCCTCCCTCCCGTTCTCCTTTCTTCCTTCTCTCCCTGCCTTCTTCCCTCCTCCTTCCTCAGTTTTCCTTTTCCTCTTCCTGTGGAGAAACCAGCATATATAATACATGCCCAGTGAAGACTTGAGCACTTTGGGAGCAAGTTCCACTCACTTCTACCTTCTGAGTGGCTTGGATTCTGCCACTTACCTTACTCATGGTTTCTACCTCAACCACCTCAGTGCCACCATTGTAGATGGAGGCAATGGTATCTACCTCCAGGGTAGGATGAGGTGACATCATTAGAATGTGCTCTTAGGAGGGCAGGGACTGTGCCTTGCTCATTCCTGTAACACCAGGGCACAGCTCTGTGCCAGGCACGTTGAAAATCCCTCCCTGTTTATCAGATGAATGGATGCGTGAAAGAGCCTAGTACAGAGCCTGATGATGGTAGTTCTTCAATTAAATGCTAATTTCCCTTATTTTCTATTTCTTGCCTATTCATGGGGATGAGATATGTTGGAGAGCCCTGGAAAGGCACAGGCTATAGAAGGAAAGGATGGGAGTTGCATAGCTATTGTCTTAACTGGTCTGACCTTGGCTTGTGTCACCTTGTGCCATCTACCCTGGCATGGGTTTGGCATCATGAAGGGCCTTTGTGGTAGAGGCCACACTTGAGTTGTTGTCTGACTAGCAGAGAGATGAATTAAAACTACCTCTTCCTGTTCCTCAGCACTGTAATTCTACTAATGGAATCTTTGACCACATTTGCTTTTTTTCCCCCATTATTATGTCCTATTGCCACCAGGTATTGGACTTTCCATACACTAGCACCCTTATTCATTCATTCAAACAAATCTCTATGGAGTGCCTGTTCTGTGCCAGGCACTGTTCTAGGATCTGGGGATACAGCAGTCAACAATACAGGCTAAAGCCCCTGCCTGCATGGAGCTGACATCCTAGTGAGGTCTTTTCTACCCTTGATGGGTGACTGTGAGGAGGCCAAGTAGCTTCTCTGAGCCTCCATTTTCTTATCTGTGACCTGCAGACAATGATCCTGCCTTCACAAGGACCATCATGAGGACTCCAAGTGACAATACATGTGACAAGACCTGCCACACAGAGCACATGGGAGTCATGGGTCAGATCAGTTGCTCCTGAAGTCAGTCCTGATGGATTGCAGTTCCTCACACTCCCCATGTTCGTAGATTCTTCCAGTTCCAAGTTTTCCTCTTTCTTCTCCTGGATCCTGGGATGACTGAAACATCCCTTCATTCTTTCGATGTTGTCCCTCAGCCATGCTAAGAAGTGACATGTCCCATCAGCTTGGACCCAGGGATTAGTCTTGGCCTTAGTGTTTTCTCCTTATACTGAATTGAGGGACCTAGGAAGCTGAGTTGCACCTGGCCTCACCCTACATCTAGAATTGTTGGATTGGGCTATATCAGAGTTGCCCATGAGCCCTGGCTGTTAGATGTAGAGGACATGCTAGTGTGTAGAATAGACTCTGTCCATTTCATAAAGTTCTTTCAGTAGTGTCATTCTTCCGTGGATGGCACAGGTGGCCCACACTCTTGCCTTGTTATCCTAATGGGATACCCACTACTCCTGTGGCTATCTAAATCTTGCAAACCCCTCTAGCCCAGCTCATTCCCACACTTCTAGGAAGCTTTTCATACCCCTTCTGTCCATACTTCAGGCATCCATCTTGGCCTAAATCTGGCCCCTGCCCACTTCCCATTCCCCCTGTCCCTTGCTCTGTACATTCCAGCCATGCTGACCTAGAACCACTGTGCTTCCTCTCCCCACCCCTACCTTGACCAGTTGATTCTTATCCATCCTTCAGAACTGAAGTTCAAAGATACCTTAAAAACCCATTGTCAATCTTCCTAAATCCTATTAAACTCTGTCATAACACCCTGTTCTTTTCCTTGGTAGCAATTATCAATTAAATAATCCATTGTGTAGCCAGTGTTTGTTGTTGTTGTTGTTAGGTGCCATCATCTCCAACTCATAGCAACTCTATGCACAGCAGAATGAAACACTGCTCCATCCCATGCCAGCTCCATGATCCCTGTTATACTTGAGCCCATCGTTGCAGCCACTGTGTCAATCCATCTTGTTGAGGGCCTTCCACTCTTTCATCAACACTTTACCTTGCCAAGCATGATATCCTTCTCCAGGGAATGGTTCTTTGTTACAACATGACCAAGCCAGTGTTTAGAGGATGTGAATATCTGGTATAGCTAGTGTTCTGGTTACCTAATGCCACTCTGACAAGAATATGCCACAAATGGGATGGCTTGACAAACACGAGTTTATTCTCTTGTAGTTCGGGAGGCTAGAAGTCTGAGTTCAAACTGCAAGGTGCTAGGGGCTGCATTATAGCCCCTTGACCTTGGGCCTCAGTGCTGCCTCTTGCTTCCGGCCCACTGAAGCTACAGGCATCTCTTCACTCAGGCAGCTACTGGCTGTTGAGGCTAACAAGCCCAAGGTCAACAAATAAAATGGCATAGTCCCAATATTACCAAACCACATGGCAGGCCATTCATTCAAGTCCACTGTAAGTCCCAAGGTCGGCAGAGCATGGCAGGCTGCTGAACAACGACACAACCACATGCAGGGTTCAAGCATGCTATAAACTAGAGACCATTCCCCAAGGCTTCTCCTTATATACAGAAAACAGACCATATCCCTAAGGCAGGTACTCAGCTGCTCACAGTAGATTCCACCATAGAGTTGATTACTAGTCTCATCATGGGGAATACTATATCCAACTGCCTGGCCACTCAACCAGGCCTAGCCTAACCGCCACAGCTAGCATGTAAATACTGGGCTAGTAGAATAAGACTTGGATTGTCAGGATATATTCAGTGGGCATGAGAGAACTATTTCAAGGTTCATGCTGAATGACTAGTTCCTGAGGACCCCAAGACCTGGAATTCAATGGTCTTTATTTTTTGCTTGGTTGACTGGTTGTTTAGATGGTTGACTGACTGGTTGCTTGGTTGAATAGTTGACTGAATGGTTGATTGTTGGTTGGTTAGTTATTTTTATTACTTAGCTGGTTAGTCAGTCAGTTGATTAATTGGCTGGTTGGTTAGTTGGTTGATTTGTTGGTTGTTTAGGTGATTGGATGGGTGGATGGAGGGAGAGTTGTTTCATTAGTTGGCATTGATTAGTTGGCTGGTAGTTTGGGTGAGTGGGTGGTTGGCTGTGTCTTCCATGGCACAGCCTGTAAGCTTCTCCCATCACTATTGACCCAAGTTGACCCTGCTTTTGGTTTTCCTATTCCCAGCCTCATCAAACCTAATGTTCTTTCTTCCTGTTTTCCACAGGCACTTGTCCGGCTGCCTCCCCACATTTCGCAGTGTGATGAAGTCTTTCGGTTCTTTGAGGCCCGACCAGAGGATGTCAACCCCCCAAAAGAGTAAGTAGAGCTTAGGCCTCTTCTGTGTGCTTGAGAGGTCTGGACCAAAGCTGAGGTCAGTCTGGAGAGGCTGGGAATGTGGGGACACAGTGAGAGGGAGAGCTATCAAGGCCAAGCAAGCTAAGGAAACATGGGCCAAAGTAATGGTGGACAATTATTCCCCAAAATCCTACTGCCAAACCAAAGCTTGTTCTTATTTCCCCTCATCCCAGAGCTGGCAAGTGATGGTATCTGCATTTAAGGAGCAGGCTTCCCTGCCAACTCTTTTTAGCTCATGGGGTTATTATAAGGAGATAACAGGAAACATGATGGATGTGGTGTTCAGATGCTTAATTTTAGCAGCCATTGCTCTTAATAGTTAATACTACAAAGCTCCCTGCTGAAATCCAGATACAGCATGATACTTGCTGCCCATACTGAAAGCTAACCTGCATACTAACTCAGGAGTCTCAGGCTGTTACAACAGATTCTATAACTATCACTAAAAATAACAATGAACATGTATAGAGCAATTGCTAAATGCCTTTTACCAATGGCATTTTATGATAGCATTAATAGCCCTGATAATAGAGGAGGAAATTGAGGCCCAGGTGATGTTCTCAAAGTAATGTAGCTGGTTGAATAAGGAAGATGCAGGATGCTTTGAACCCGAGTCTCTGATTCCTAGAGGCCCAATGCTGGTTGATGGTTCTATTTCAGATCACATGATCTAACTTTAGAGAGAGACCAGGGACCAAGTGGGTCTTTTTTCCCTCTGATGTCAGGAAACTCTGGGCCTGGTAGGTTGAAATATCCTGCCTAGCCATGCTGACTTCTCATGCACATGACCTAACTCCATCCTAATGGCCACTTTCTCTTACTCAGAGAGATCCCCTCACCTTCACTCCATTACATGGGTTCTCAATGGAGAGAAAAATCCAGTTTCCACCCGGGAGGTGATGGTAGAAGAAAGCAGCCAGGGAGGGGTGTTGGGTAGGGGAGAGGGCTGGGGAGAGTTGTGAAAAGGGTGGTAGTTGATCAGTTCACTGCCATATCTATTCCCTGGAATCTTAAACTACGGTAGTGGGCAAGAAAGAGGCAGATGGCGTGGATACCATAGAGGGCAGGCTAAGAAGGGGACAGAGGAAGTATCTGGAAACAGTGGGGAGAGGCCAGGCGCCACCTGGTGATGGGGAGGAGAAAGCCTGAAGGCAGGGGTGCTGCATTGCACAGCTCTCAGAGCACCATCCACACTGCACTCTCTGTGGAGTTGTAGAGTGCATGGCCTGCACACCCATACATGCATTCCTGCCTGAAGGGGCTCTTCTCTTTTGACCTGCACTATAAGACTAAGAGCCTGGAATGGCCTGTATCCTTTGAAAGAGGAAAAAGCATCACTAAGGTCAGAGACTCACCTGACAAAGGCTTAAGAAACAAGCAAAAGCCAAGAGCCATCAGAAACTCAACAGTGACTTGGTTCACAATGCAGACTATTGTGATGGTATGGGATGCACAGTCTTGAGTTCAAGTTCCAACTCTGCTGTTTACTAGCTGTGTAACTCCAAGGCAGATCACTTGCATTGCTCCCACAAGCCTCTGTTATTTCATCTGTAGAAAGGGAATAGTAATTCATCCCTGCTATTGCTACCTCAAAGGAGCCCTGCTGGTTCAGTGGTTAAAGCATTTGGCTACAAACCAAAAGATCAGTGGCTCAAATCTACTAGCTGCTTCATGGGAATAAGATGTGGCAGTGTACTTCCATAAAGATTGGTGGTCTTGGAACCCCTGTGGGATGGTGGGTTTGGTTTATTTTTTCTTTTGGGGAGATTATTGCTACCTCCAAGGTCAATATATGAAACTCAGGTCTGGGAATGAACTTCGTAAATGACTAGATGAGATTTAAATGTTTGTTCTCATCATGGGAAGACCCCTTCTGCTCACTATACCTGCTGTGTGTCTGGCTTCTGAAAGGTTGGCACCAGGACTCCTGTGGTCTTATTCCTATGTTATGGGAGCTCTGGTGGCACAGTGCCTAATGCATTTGATTGCTAACTGCTAACCAGAAGGCTGGCAGTTTAAACCCACCAGCCACTCGTGGGAAGGAAGACTGGGCAATCTACTTCCATAGAGATACCACCTTGGAAATCCAAGGAGAGGTCACTATGAGTCTGATCTGATTCGATGGCAGTGAGTTTGATTTTTTGTTTTTTATCCCCAGGCAGTGTCAGATTACCCAATAAGCAAAGTAAACACAGGCTTACTTGTGCTTACTTACTAATCTATAGTGAACATTTTCACATTTTTTCACAATATCAAAGATTTGGCTTCTATGTATGATTGGTGTTTTGGTTATCTAGTGCTGCTCTCATAGAAAATACCACAAGTGGATGGTTTTAACCAACAGGGATTTATTCTCTTACAGTTTAGGAAGCTAGAAGTCTCAGTTCAAAGTGCCAGCTCTAGGGCCTGGGTGAAGGCCCCTTGACCTTGGGCTTCAGCCCTACCTCTTGCTCCCAGCCCACTGAAGCTGCAGGCTTCTCTTCACTCAGGCAGCTGCTGGCTGCTGAGGCTGACAAACCCAAGGTCAATCAGTAAAATGGCACAGTCCCAAGATTATTAAGCAACATAGCAAGCAACTAGTTCAAGTCCAGAAACAGTCCCAGGATCAGCAGGGAACATGGCAGGCTGCTAAATGAAGACTTGGCCACGTGCAAGGTCCAAGCATGTCAAAAAGCTCCGAGACCTCTCTCAGAGCTGTCTTCTTATACACTGGAAACAGACCACATCCCTAAGGCAGCTAGCTACTCAGCTGCTCACAGCAGATCCCACCACGGAGTGATGACCAGTCTCATCCTGGGGAATACTACATCCAGCTGTCCAGCCACTCAACCAGGCCCAGCCAAGTTGACACACAACCTTAACTACCAGCTGGCATCTGTCTTTCTCCCATCCCCACAGCACCTTCCTACAGAATAAAGCCTCTTCTCAAATTTTTACTCCTGACAGAGACGGAGTGCCAGTAATCAAGGTAAGCACTGTCTTAACTTGTGCTTACTTGGTAATTGCAGTGCAAACTTTCAAAGATTTGGTGAAACCCATATGGAATTGTTCACTACAGATCATTAAGGTAAGCACAAGTAAGGCTGTGCTTACCCTGTTTATTGGGTAATCCATCCTTGGCTTCTGGAACTTGAATCTAGAACCTTCTGGCTCTAAACCGAATACCTGTACTCTTTCAATTCCTCCCTCCTGCCTCCTGATTTTGGGAGAACCAGGAATGTGGGTCGGTGTCTCCTTTCTGCCCTCTCCGTACTCCCACACCTTCCTTCTCCACCTCCCAGGGCAGACAAAGGCACAGACGGGCAGCAGTGGCCCTGGTTTATTATACCTGGTCCTGCCACTCCCTAACTGAGTGCCCCCCACCCCCCAAACAAACTGCTCTGGTGGGGGCATGCTCCTTTGTAGGTGGGTCATCATTGGGACCACATGTGATGATGACCTCTACAGGTGGGGGAAAGGGATCGTTGCTGGTGGTTGAAGGAGCAGGTGCATCATCACAACACCCCACCAGAGATCCATGCCTCTACCCCTGCTCTCTGCCAGTCAGATCAAGAAATTAGTCCTAATCCATATGTCAACTCATGCACTAACGGCAATAGGTCAACCTTTTTGCCACCTCCAGAAGGCCCTCCAGGAATGGCGGTAACCTGGCTCATGGAGACAGTTGTGCACCAGCGAGACAGCCTGGCAAAGCTTATGGGGCTTTGAGGTCAGGCCCTGCCACTTAAGGCTCTGTGACCTCTGGCCATTTGGTCAAAATCTCAGCATTCCCATTTGTCCAACTCTGAAATGAGATAATGCCACACTCACAAGGTAGTCAGGAGGGTTTGCTGAGATAAGCTAGGTAGCATAGAGCCCCAGCAAGGTGCTCTTGGCACACAGTAGGTGCTCAACATTTTTGTTTATGGAATGTTGTAGAACAGAATGGAATGTACTTAGTGCACATTGCACCCCTGCGGACCACAGCCTGACTGTTGCATAGAAGGGTTATAAAGCCTTTGGCCAATGAGTTGTGTTGGCAACAGGGATAATCTGCCTCTTTTTAAAAAAAAAAAAAAATTATTGTGATAAATTATATATAAACATTTTCAGTTTTAGCCATTTTTAAGTATGTGAGTCAGTGGTGGTCTTAGTTCTTTGGTGCTGCTATAACAGAAATACTTTAGTAGGTGCTTTTAACAAACAGAAACGTGTTTTCTCACATTGTTGTTGTTGTTGTT